ACCTCTTTTTTCCTCGGTCAAATAGGCACCAAATTCAGAATTTATGCTTACATTCGACTACATATTAACCCACTTTCAATAAAGATTAAATTTTTCCACGGGTGAAGTTGCCTCTTTAAGTGCTTCTTCCCAAGGTCATAAGACTGTACTGTTTGTTTAAAGGACTTGCCCTGTGGACATTATAAAGCCAAACATCGTGAATCGTTATACTGTGCGCTTTTACAAAAAGCTAACTAAGCTTCATTTAAGACTACCAACGAGCCAACAGTGATTTTATCGTCTTCCTCCAGGTACAATAACCTCATCGATTGCCCCAAAACCCTGTTCTTGTTCTTGTTTTCCATTTAGATGGCGGTATTGCAATATTTATTATGAGTTGCATCCCCGACACCTACTAGTACCAGATTATGTGGACATGAGTTTTTACATTGACATTTAAATATGCACAATTTAAGATAGAAATTAAACATCTCAACCCAACTAACCCATCCGGACTTTATTCTGTGATATAACGTAGTATTTCATTTACAAATTCTAGTTATGCTTTCTGTGCATCCTCTGTGCATTTCTGTATTAATTTTGTAATAGAAGGACCCTTCTTATTGTTTTTCCTTTTCTTAGCCAACAAGGAATAGTCTACAAAATTGTACCTTTATTTGTTGCATTTTTTGGCAGTTTTATCAGCTCCTTTTTATACCAAACAAGGGTATGTAGACAACATAATCTTATGTCCATTTATCCTACCTAATGATGAAACAGGCTCATGATATCTATTTCCTATGATTAGGTTTTCTCTAGTAAGCTTCATGGATTTTATACTTGAATAACACCCGTAACTGAATCGACACAGAATACCACTACTGTCGTGGCATATACTTGCTCAACCCTACTAGTCCTAATAATTACTGCACAAATATTTTCATTTTACATTATAGAAGTCGCCCAAAGAAACACAACTCACGTTTTGAATTTTGAATCCGTTTTCACAGCAGTAGGTGAGCCTCCATGTTAATGATGTCACCTATCAAAAACGAAACTGTTACTTTACCTGATCTGTGCTTGTAAAACATTCACATTGTTTCTCTGCAAAAACCGTTAGAATATTGCACATACATTTGTGTGTCTCAATCACTGAATAACTTTCCTGTGGAATAAAATAAATGTGTCAAAAGTGACCTACATGAGTCAGTAAAGACCTTAGCTATTAATGGTGTTGCATATTTATCCGATACAAAGAGTATATATCTCTTTAACGTACCAAAAACGAGATATAACAGCCAGTCCGTGTGCTTTACAGAAACTAACTAAGCATATTTTAATGCTACCAAGCCAACAGTGGTTTAAAGTCTTCTCACGTACAGGCGGTAACCTGCATGACGCCCCCACCCTGTTCTTGTTCTTGCTTTCATTTAATGGCGGATTGCAACAATTTACTATGGTGTTGCATTCCGGCACCTACGCAGCAAAAAGCCGGGTGTTGAATTAACTCCCACAGAGTTGATTTCAACACTTTTTCAGGGTTTATATAGCTCCACACTCTCCAGAGTTAAATTAACACTTTGAAAATAGTTAAACATTTAACACTTTGCCAGAGTCCTGTCTTTAACTCGCAAAACAGGGTTAAATTAACACTGACATAACACTGTTCTGAGTTACATTTTTTACTATTTGGGTAAAGGTCATTTTAGTGTAAAATCTACACTGAATAACATAATATTTTTTGCCTTTTCATGTGTAAAACAATGCACAATCATATAATATATATATCATCACACATCATCGTCATATAAATCATACAAATTAAAGGCAAAATGTGCTTTAAAATGTTCATGCTTTGCCTGGCATGAAATGCGATGCTTATCCATGGTGATGTAGAAGCTGTCGATCTAGTCCTTCTGACTCCCAACAGCGAGGAGGTATGGTTGCTGACCCTGCTGGTAGATGGTAGATGATTGTAGCATGACTAAGGTTGAAATAAAGAAACAGAGAGAGAAAAACATCAAACATCTCCCTGGCTAGTGTGACATAGGAATGCCTATGAAGACAATTCCATCCACTTTTTAACAACCCCAATTTACACACGTGGCTAAGAAAGTGACGTGAAAAATTATTATAATCACCTTAATGGTTTTTGGAGACTTCGGTCCCCCAGGTGGTGGTGAAAGAAGATGTATCAGCAACAACAGGGAGGCAGTTTCTTGTAGGCTGAGGACAGAGTCACAAGAATAACTGAAAATTCTTCAAATGTAATACTTTAAAAGTTTGAATGAGAACAAAGAGGCATTATGAGTCATTCATCTATTGCTCATAATAATCCGATTAACTTTCAGAGACACAGAATGAACTGAATTCTAATCTAATCAAATTCCTAATTTTAATCATAGTCATAAAAATAATGAATAAAGCAACATTAACTGTTTCCCCATCAGAGAGGCTTGGCTTCAAGAACAAACAGAGTAATGTCTTGTTCCACCTTTGAGAAAGAAGATATTGATTAACTTATTATTAACTACTACTACAAGAAATACTTTCAAATTTCAAGTAATTCAAAACATTTCATTACAAACACCAATCCATTTTTTTTGTATCCAGGAATCTTGGGACGGTGGAGAAGATATTAATATTTCTATTTGGGTCATTAACAAGCTTCTGAAAGGTCTATCACCTCTTCTGCAGAATCTGGGAAAAAGAGCAATAAAAAAATTTAATTAAGGTCACACAGACAACCAGAGGCTTTGAATTTTGTCATAGAAAATAAAAATTAAAAAAGAAACACTGGCATTGAAACACTCTCTGAGAAAAATTGTATTGGCACTAAAATAAGTATTAAAACACAGACATTAAAAATTATTTAATTATTTTATGTATTGTGATGTGTTTTTCCGACCTCCGATTAACAGATACCTTAAACCCCCTAGCTGGAGCCTACAGGTGGATGAAGTGGTGGTGGTGGGGCTTACAGAGCAGCAGGCAGCAATACTAATGCAAGGCAGCAGCTGCATTGACAGAGCAAAGGGAGAGCTGGGAAATT